TAACTTTGCTGCTCTCTCTCAGCGCCCATACTTTACAGAAAGTGGATTGCTGTATCTCTGTGTCCTTTCTTATAATACCTCATGCCAATTAATGAGCCAGGAAGTGAGAGATGCACTGGTAGGTACACACACCTGCTAGCATTAGTACAGTCGCATGTGAAGGGTTCTTGCAATGTCCTAATTCACTGCTGTTTTTAGGTCACAGCAGTCAGTGTCAATAATAGAAATGTTTGTGTAACTTTTATTCATTTTAAAATTGATCAGAATGTTTTGCTTCGTGAAGTATTGGTCAATGCCTACAAATCCCCCATAGATGGCAGCCTAAGCAATGTAATTCTGTTATTATTATTATTATACAGCTGAAAAACATCATTGGTGAATTAATCCTGCAAATAAAAATATATGCTCTCGATCTCCATCTTTTAATGAAACCTTAACTTTTACTTAATCAGCTATTTCCAGCTCAGACTAAAGACTGGCTAAACACTATCATAATGGCTATCTTTAAACTACAGTTTAGTATACTGAATGTTTATTAACCCCTTAAGGACCAAACTTCTGGAATAAAAGGGAATCATGACATGTCACACATGTCATGTGTCCTTAAGGGGTTAAAGTACCACTGCCAATTCTGAGACTACCTACCTACCTACCTGGAAAGCAATTGTGCATTTTGAAAGAAAAAAAAAATCATCGCTGTTTGAACCCCTTAGTGGCTTTTCCGAGGTTCAGGGTTTTCATGACGGGGGCCTTTTTGCTTTGTATTTGTTCCATTGTAAATTTCCCATTTATACTGCTTCACAGGTAGGATTTTCTTCTGATACCCTATTGTATGCAGTGTACAATAATGCATAGGAATATATAAAAAAAAATGGGGAAACAAAAAAGTATACAACTTGTGTAATATGCTTATGTATTAGTCCTAATGGCTAAATGTAGGATTTGTATTATTTTTGTAAGTTATGGAACAAATATTAAAAGTAGTGAATGGCAGTTTTAAACATTTTAAAAGGTCTGCTGAGACGATAAATATTATAGCAGTCTTCAAATCCAGAGTTGCTACACAAAAGTTTAGAAAAAAATAAATAGATCCCTCACAATATATTTAACTAAGAGCATTTTGACACTTTTCATTTATTCATTTTATCACTCATTAACTGTGAGTGCTAGAGCTAGCAAGAGGTGCAAGAGGTGCAGAACAGAGGCCAAATAGCTCCCAACTCCACCCACATAGAGTTTGTTAAGCAAGTAAGCGTGATGTTTGATCCTCCTGCTGTCTCATGAAGGGACAGAGAGTTCCCTTTAAGACATTACTGCTCTGCATTGGCTGGCTCTGGAGATCCTTTGATTTCTCCTGTTGGCCTTGGCCAATTGCCATCGTGGCCCACCAGGCATTTGCCCAGGTTGCCCAATGGCGAGTCCAAGCCTGGTATGGAAAAACAGTAACATCAGTACAGACTTATACTTGTGGCGAGCTGCATCTAAAATGCTGGAGCTGCAATCATCAGATGAGGGACAGGGTATTCCAGCCTCCTTCTCCTCCAATGATAACCTGGTGGTGAGGACCACTTTGTGTAGCTCAGTGAAGTCAGTAAAATAATATATAGTTAGTGATGACCCGAACGGTTCGCCATGGATGGCGAACATGTGCGCTGTTCGGTCCGCCCCCTATTCGTCATCATTGAGTAAACTTTGTCGTTTGCCGTCCGCGGCGAACCGTTCGGCGAACCGTTCGGGACATCACTATATATAGTGTAATAGTTGTGTGCCCTGGGACCAAGCACAGGTAGTAGAAGGGAAAACTAAAAGAATGGCCTTATAGTGTGACAGTTTGCCAATGTTTACATTTATCTAATTATACACTTAGCAAAGCCAGGTCACAATTATCTCTTTTCAATATGAACTTTCATGTAAGTGGGGTTAAATTGAGTTTATAATCAGCTCTAGTTTTAGAGAGCAGTGACATCATTTTCTAGTTTTAGAGAGCAGTGACATCTCTGTTCTGCTGCTCACTCGCTGCTCTTTATTGGCCTACTGCAGTCACACTTCTCTATTGTAAGGCCACATATAGGATATTAAAGGATTAGTGATACAAAAATGTGAACCAGAAGTGGATGAAAATTTGTCCCCATCTTTATTACAATGTCCATTAGGTTTTGCCAATATAAATGCCAATACAGAGGTAGAAGGTTGTGCGAGAACCTCCTCAGAAAAGAACGTAAATTTAAAGTACTAATCTCCATGCTTCCATGAACAAGCAGTGGCTGGGACGCTACACACCTAGAAAGCCTACTTGCTCCCGACTCTCATCTGCGATTATATAACATTGGACAGAAATTGAAAGAATCTGTGTAGATTAGACAAAAGCAATGGCTGATTAGCTTGCAAAACACCCACCATATGTGATATCCATATTTTTGTTTAAATCCCCTTACTTTTATTTAGCCTCTGTAAAATGTCCTTCTTACACATTTTCCGATATTTTTCTGCGACGTTGACCTGCTTGACTGTAACTAGAATGGATGCATTTAACCAATTTTCTGTAATAGCTCTAATCTGTTAGAAAAACAGTGCTAGCTAGAACAGTTACCGTGTTTCCCCGAAAATAAACCCTACCCCGAAAATAAGCCCTAGTCGGATTTTCGGGGTGGGCTGCAATATAAGCCCTACCCCGAAAATAAGACCTAGGCATTGTACCTTTGCGGCGAGACTTCCTTCTTCTACTGTAGGAGGAGCGTTGCGGGCCGCGGCATCGCGCAACGTGATGACGACATTTCGCAGCGCCGTCAGTCTGCCTTCACGGATCTTCAGCGGAAGGATCCATTTCCGGGCGGTGAGGCTCCCAGTGGTCGGACTCGGCAAGGAAACTTTGAAATGTGAGTACCGGTAGATATTTTATGTCTGGGACTGAATTAATTAAAGGGGGCGGGGGGTGAATTAATTAAAGGGGGGGTGAATTAAAGGGTGGGCTGGATTAATTAGAGGGGGGTGAATTAATTAAAGGGGGGGTGAATTAATTAAAGGGTGGGCTGGATTAATTAGAGGGGGGTGAATTAATTAAAGGGGTGGTGAATTAATTAAAGGGTGGGCTGGATTAATTAGAGGGGGTGAATTAATTAAAGGGGTGGTGAATTAATTAAAGGGTGGGCTGGATTAATTAGAGGGGGTGAATTAATTAAAGGGGTGGTGAATTAATTAAAGGGTGGGCTGGATTAATTAGATGGAGGTGAATTAATTAAAGGGGTGGTGAATTAATTAAAGGGTGGGCTGGATTAATTAGAGGGGGTGAATTAATTAAAGGGGTGGTGAATTAATTAAAGGGTGGACTGGATTAATTAGAGGGGGGTGAATTAATTAAAGGGGTGGTGAATTAATTAAAGGGTGGGCTGGATTAATTAGAGGGGATGAATTAATTAAAGGGGTGGTGAATTAATTAAAGGGTGGGCTGGATTAATTAGAGGGGGTGAATTAATTAAAGTGGTGGTGAATTAATTAAGGGGTGGGCTGGATTAATTAGAGGGGGTGAATTAATTAAAGGGTGGACTGGATTAATTAGAGGGGGTGAATTAATTAGAGGTAAGGAATTAATTCAGCAAGAATTAATTAAAGGGGGGGGGGTGAATTAATTAAAGGGGTGGTGAATTAATTAAAGGGTGGGCTGGATTAATTAGAGGGGGTGAATTAATTAAAGGGGGGTGAATTAATTAAATGGTGGACTGGATTAATTAGAGGGGGTGAATTAATTAAAGGGGTGGTGAATTAATTAAAGGGTGGGCTGGATTAATTAGAGGGGGGTGAATTAATTAAAGGGGTGGTGAATTAATTAAAGGGGTGGTGAATTAATTAAAGGGTGGGCTGGATTAATTAAAGGGTGGACTGGATTAATTAGAGGGGGTGAATTAATTAAAGGGGGGTGAATTAATTAAAGGGTGGACTGGATTAATTAGAGGGGGTGAATTAATTAAAGGGGTGGTGAATTAATTAAAGGGTGGGCTGGATTAATTAGAGGGGGTGAATTAATTAAAGGGGTGGTGAATTAATTAAAGGGGTGGTGAATTAATTAAAGGGTGGGCTGGATTAATTAGAGGGGGTGAATTAATTAAAGGGGTGGTGAATTAATTAAAGGGGTGGTGGAATAATTAAAGGGGGGGTTCAATGTACATACCGTAAATAAATAAGCCCTACCCTGAAAATAAGCCCTAGTGTGTTTTTTGTGACTAAAATTAATATAAGACCCGGTCTTATTTTCGGAGAAACACGGTACAGCATATGCATTATGTTATCTTATTATTCATGTAATCTGCTGAAAGATTGTTTCCTAAAGCATTTTATAGTGATTTCCTGTCCTAAAATTAGCTCTTCCACTTGATTACACCAATATGCTCAGTGAGTAGTCAGATGTTAGGCTTATGGCGTTTGGTACCCCAGTGCTTTGCAGTCATGTGGCTGAGTTACTTAACAACTTAATGCAAGAACAAAGGGGTGTAAATTCCAGCTGCCAGGTGTCAAATACATTTCTTTTCAGTGAAATTGTTTCTGAGTGCCACGGCAGTCTGCTATACATGGCAAAGTAGGGTTTTTTTTGCTAATAATTACAGCTAAGCCAAAGTGGAATATATAAAATAATAAATGCAACTTTAAAAATGGACTTGTTACTACTGTGTTTTTAGTAAATAAAGTCTTTATTAAAACCAGCAATCAGTTATATTGTCAATTTGAAGACATACCATTTTGTTTAAAATATATATGTGAAACTAAACAGGGGCTCTAATTTTATGTATTAAAGGGACACTATAGTCACCTGAACAACTTTAGCTTAATGAAGCAGTTTTGGTGTATAGAACATGCCCCTACAGCCTCACTGGTCAATCCTCTGTCATTTAGGAGTTAAATCCCTTTGTTTATGAACCCTAGTCACACCTCCCTGCATGTGACTTGCACAGCCTTCCATAAACACTTCCTGCAAAGAGAGCCCTTTCTTTATTGCAAGTTCTGTTTAATTAAGATTTCCTTATCCCCTGCTATGTTAATAGCTTGCTTGACCCTGCAAGAGCCTCCTGTATGTGATTAAAGTTCAATTTAGAGATTGAGATACAATTATTTAAGGTAAATTACATCTGTTTGAAAGTGAAATCAGTTTTTTTTCATGCAGGCTCTGTCAATCATAGCCAGGGGAGGTGTGGCTAGGGCTGCATAAAAAGAAACAAAGCGATTTAACTCCTAAATGACAGTGAATTGAGCAGTGAAATTGCAGGGGAATGATCTATACACTAAAACTGCTTTATTTAGCTAAAGTAATTTAGGTGATTATAGTGTTCCTTTAACTGGTCAGCTCATCCATTAATATGAGCCATCACTTAGGTATAAGGATGGCATCTCTATTTGCATGAACAATATGATTTATGGAACAAACCCATTATGTCAGCAGTCTGAGAGCACACTAGAGCATCCAACTCATCCTGCCACAATCAGCCCATGTTACACTTACCCCACACACATGTCACCATGTCACACTCACCCTTCACACACAGTCAACCAGTCACAATCACCCTCCCACAATCAGCCTATTACACTTACAATTACCCTGTCACAATCACTCTGTAACACACATCCCACACAACAAACCTGTCAAACTCACACCTACACACAGTAACTTGTGACACTCACCCTCACATACAGTCAGCCTGTCACACTCACAGTCACCTTGTCACAACCACCCCACAAACACAGTAAGCCTCACCCTTCACACACACACACACACACACACACAAACACAGCTTTACCATAAACACAAAGCACACGTCAAGACAACACGCAGCTCCACCACACACATATGCTCCCCAAAACAAATATACACATGCCCAAAAATACAGAGATACACAGACACGGATATGCACTCCAGAAACTTTCACAGATATCATATACACAGGTAAACACTCACAAATGCACAATGATGCTTACTGCCAGACACACAATCCCAGGCATATACACAGACACACAAAGAGAAACAGGCAAACACATGTACTACTTATTACATACCTTTCAAAGTATTCTTTGCTTTATTGTAGTTTGTATATTTGTTTAAAAGGGTTTTATAAAAAAAGTTGCCAAGTGATACATGTCCTATTAAGGCAAAAGTTGCTCTATTTCCAGCTCAGCTACTTTAGCTACTCTTAGTTTCTTTGCATTTCAAATAAACGTTAAATATCTTACAGTTCTCACTTTAGTAAATATCCTTGAATGTATACTTTTGTTAAAGGACAACTGTCCTAAAAATCCCTTTTGGCTAAGGATATGCTCTCAGTATGTATTGAAAGGACTATTTTTTAAAGCTTGTCAATATTAATTTTCGTGCAAAATGCCCAAAATGTAGGGGGTACTTGTGCAGTTCCTATATATATATATTTTTTTTTCTGCTATGTTTATCCACCTTCGGTTGGATGGTCGCCTAAACCAATAGTTGAATGGTATGTTCCGTGGAGAGCACAGGTTGATGATGCCATCGCTCATCGCCAATGTGCTCTCCAGTGTAATCCAACTGAGTAAACAGTAAGGGTGGTGTGTGCAAGACACTGGCCTTTAAAGATAGTGCATTAGGGGAGGCGTCACTCGGGGAGATTGGGGTTTCAGGTAATTACATCCGAATAAACAGTTGGTTGACAGGATCATCTGACTGAAGGGGGATATAAATGACAGTGAAAATAGGAATGGTAGAGGTAGGGAGGCATTTTTCCCAAATATTCACATTGACAAACTTTAAAAAAACAAGCAAAAAGCAAAGGTTCCAAAATGGATTTTTTAGGTGACAGTAATCCTTTAACTAAATAGGTTGCAGATCGTTCCTGTTTCTCCAGTGCAAATTTGTATATCAAGGGCTCAATATGTCTCTCTGTATCTCTGCTGGGGAGAAATATCAGTGGAGGAAGATTGGGCTGAGGGAGAGCTTAGCCTCACTGCTGGAATTAATCTAGGTTTTAGCATTTTCTTTCTTTATTTTTTTTAAGCGTTGGGGGTGCGGACCAGGCTAGGAGTGGTTACTTAAACCAACCCTTCATCACAAGTGCAAAGCAAATGTGGACATTCATGTCCTTATGCTGCACTTTTTGGCAATCCTCCAGATACAGGGTAACAGAGCTAGTCTGAAGGGTAACTGGGAGGGCAGTGTGAAAATCATGTATCACATAAGGGCATCACATGGTTTGGTAGGTCTGTACCATTCCACAATATGAAGATATCATCTATTTATACCATTATATGTACGAACTTATTATCCTGGCACTATAGCTTCCCCCTCCATCACGCTCCTCTCCGTGGTGCAGCAGGGTTTAAAAACCCCTTCTGTCACTTACCTCAGTCAAGCGCAGGTCTATCATCGCTGCTCAGCCGGCAGGGTAGACCTAATGTTCAATTGCACCAATGGCCGCACTGGCATTAGGATTTTCCAATAGGAAATCATTATACAATGCTTTCATACGGGGTTTCGGGTGACGCTGGATGTCCTCATGCAGCACGTGAGGATGTTAAGCGTCAGTTCGGCGACCAAAAGTCTCCTAACAGCCCGGAAGGACCTCTAGTGGCTGTCTGGTAGACAGTCACTAGAGGTGGAGTTAACCCTGAAAGGTAACTATTTCAATTTCTTAAATACTACAGGGTTAAGAGACCTGGGACACTGCACCAAGACTACTTCAATGAGCTTCTCAATGTCTTTCATCTGGCTAAAGACCCATATACTGTGGTATATTACTAAACAGGCAGCTGAGGTGCCTTTAGGAGACCACAGCAACATTGGGAAATAAAAATGATTTGAGAGGAGATATAACCCTAATATATTAGTCTACATAGTTACAAGTTTGTTCACCGGTTTGTGGATGAACCCCTGATTTGAAAGTTAAGTGTGATTACCAGATGTTCATCAGCTCTGCATAATTTTATAATCTGCCTTCATCATGTTCTTAGGAATTTTAAGCCACAGTGCTGATCACATAAATTTAAACCTAAAATTAAGATCCTAAGCCATTATGTTTATACCATAGATTAAACAGGAACTTTCCCGCAAATACAAAAACTCATTTTTTGTGGCTAATATTTGTTTGAAGAGATCCTGTCTTCACACTCCAGCCTGCTACAGACTAAGCAGAGTAATAGGTTCTTTCATCGCCTCGGCGCTGTGCCTGCTGTGGAAATCATTCAGCAAGCCCTGTGTCTGTGAAAACAGCAGCACTAAACTGAACTTTCAATTACTAGTTTATTATTTCAAGATACTCAGGGGGTGAGTGGTGAGAGCTACATGCCTATGTAACTATGGATTTCTTGTGAAGTTCTTTTAGTGGGGACGTGAAGGGCAATGAAATATGACCGTGGACCACTCCAACGATGACAAATGGATTTTTCGCATGGGCCTGATGCGACCACCTCACTAGCGAACATGTGTTTTTGACCTATTTGGAATTCTGAGTCTGATATTCCAAAACATATTTTTCTTCTCATGTGAGGTGTAAAGGTGTTGACCAGATAGAAATATTTTTGCAGGGATAATGAGGCAGATCAGTTAATAATGCTACATTTGCACTAACACGTTTATATACAATCATACCTCATATAGTTTAACTGTTGAACTAACACCCATTTTCAGTCGATTGCTTTCATTCTGTACACATGTAACATATAAGGGTCATTTTAATAGATTCACCGAAAGTCTCTTGTGTTTTTTTTTCTGCCATTCCAGAAAAGTTATATCAAAGCGCAATTTACTAACTGGCCTATTTGTACCGTATTTACAGAATTTTATTTTTTTAAATCCAACCTGACGTTTTAACGGAGTTCATAGCATAATGTCAGCCCGTTTAATATTCTCAGTAATATATGCAAAAACCCTTCTTCCAGTGATTCGTAGAAGAGAAGAACACATGATATGCTTCTACATACAATATTCAATATGGCAATCTGGAACGGAAAATAAATAAAAATTTGTAAAAAAACATTTTTCATTCCAGCCTGAACGTAAACCTCTGCATAAAAATACAGAGATGTAACTACATCATTAGCTATTTAGTAGAGGCCATTGTCAATTTCGGAATGTAAAAAAAAAATTAATAATTCTGGCATAATTTCTACTTGTCTTGGGACGATACATAAGGTGCTACTAGCCATACAATAATCACACCATAGGCACGATTGTCAGATCTGAAGGCAATACATTTCGTTGCTCTATTCTGTGATTCTGAAAAAAAAAAAATCAAAGCTGATTTGGGTTTGTGGGTCCCCAGCATTAACCCTGAGATCACCAGGCAAGCCTTGAATGAGCGAGCCTTTCCTGAGGATGCCCTGTGATTGATTGGCTCTGTAAGCCACCCAATCACAGTGTACTGAAGGTTCTTCAAGCCAGTAGGAGCATGTAAGGGTCCTTTCTGGCTAAAAAGCTCTTTATTTTTCAGGGTTAATGTTATTATTTTTTGTCACATGGGCTTTATTTTTCCTCGAGGATTTTTTGTAAATAATCAGTTTTTTTCCCCCTACTTTAGTTCCTTTAGGATACCATAGGTTTTTGGTCTTTTTCCAAAGCAACAAAATAGAAGTAGAATCATAATAGAGGCTCTTTAAAGGGACACCGTAGGCACTGTATCTGCTTCATCTCATTAATCTGGTTACAGTGTCTGGAGTCCCCGGTACCATCATTTCTTTTACCATTAAACTTTTTCTAATGTTCTAATGCTAAACAAGAGCCCCATGCAGTCCATCCCCTCTGTGCTGCTTTGGCTAATAAGGAAGTATTAGCCTGGAGTGCGGGCTAGAGTTCACCTCACCACTACTGGGACCACCAGGGAATCCCCACCGGACCACCAGGGATGGAGAAATGTCCCCCCTCCTCCCAGTAAAGGTAAGAAGGGAGGGGGGACATAAATATAGTCATTTTATTAAATACATTTTTCATAATTATTATTAAAAAGCCTCCCTAACCTCCCCCCCATACAAATACTGCCCCCAAACACTGCCCCCACACACACACTACACACACTGCCCCACAAACACTGCCCCCATACACACACTGCCACACACTGCCCCCATACACACACTACACACACTGCCCCACAAACACTACACACACTGCCCCCATATACACACACTGCCCCACAAACATTGCCCCACATACACACACTGCCCCACAAACACTGCCCCCATACACACACTACACACACTGTCCCCAC